CGCGGCAGAGTGTGCGAGCGAGAAAGAGAATCAGTAGCGACAGCATCGCTGGAGAAGGAGAGGGAACCAACAGAAAATTAATTTCTTCATTCTGGCTATAATTATAATCCGATCTAGTTCAGCAATCAGCAAAATTCGGCAATCTGGTAGATATGGGCATTCTCTACGATACTGCGTTTTTAGTTTATCGTATCTTTAAAAATGTGCCTGCCACAGATTTTCGTCCTTTGTGGGGGCGGAAGGGGGCGGGTCGAAATTTTGAAATACACTTGTAGCAGTGTGATATCACATGAGTCTGGAAACCAAATTTGGTTTCTCTAGCTCTTATAGTCTCTCAGATCTAGGCGCTCATCAAGACGGACAGACGGACAGACGGACATGGCTATATCGACTCGGCTATTGATGCTGATCAAGAATATATATACTTTATGGGGTCGGAAACGTTTCCTTCTCTGCGTTGCACACATCCACTTTTACCACAAATCTAATATACCCCTTAACTCTTTTTTGAGTAAGGGTATAAAAATGTTTGTGCCTTTCATAACGTCAGTGCACAAGTACAGGTCGGACCAATCAAAATCCCTAATAAGGTTATTAAGCTTCGTAAACTCGGCTTTAATAAAGCAGCGGACACGTTCAGATAGCCTACCCATTCGATCCAATAGAGTAGGGCCAATATCGACTGACACTTCGAATGTAGGATGGTAGGAGTCTTCAGGTATACTGAGCGGAAGGGCTCGGGTTAACAACGCTATGGTCGGATCCGAGACAAAGCACAGATCAAGCAATCGACCCAAGGAATTTTTCACATGGTTGACTTGAGACAGGGATAGGTCTAGCAAGCCGTCGATAAAGTCATGTCGTGACATGGGCACAAGGTTATTAGACTCGTTTACCGAAGACCAAACAGTACCTGGCAAATTGAAATCACCAAGAACTATCATATGGTCTTTATCTGATAGCGAGGAAGAAACAGTTTTTAAAGCGGACAGGTGATGCTCGTATATTAAGATATCCGAGGAAGGTGGAATATACGAGCAAGTAATGAAAATGGAAAGCCTGGGAGAATCAGTTTTACGCAAGGGAATTCCAGGTCTTGTTGAACCTGGACCATGAAATGTTCCGACGTGAAGTTTGAGTCCACTGCAATGAGAACCCCACCTCCACGTCGAGACGAACGGTCAATTGTAAAAATTGTGTACCGACCTGCAAAGACTTCGGAACTAAGGATGTTCGGCCATAACCAGGTCTCGCTAAACACAATAACGTGGGAAGAGAATGCGAGACTCTCAAGAAAATGAGTGCTGAGCTTACTACGCAAGCCTCAAGCATTCTGGTAGGTAACTAAAAGAAAGGAAGTTAGTTTTTTGTTATATTAGTTAAACATGACATCGTTTTGGCAATCGCATTATATTATACACAAAAAAACAAAAATCGGTGAAATAGGAACAGACGACATTTTTGTCCTGGCCGATATTGATATCGCGCTTTGTTGTTTCTTACGTTTATTTTGGTGACGTAAAATTGGGGGCCTTTAGAAATTAATTTAATAAATTGATTTAATATATTAGGATATACGAAAATTAGTTTTTAATTATATAAATATAAGCTTAAAACATCAGCAGAGTTGTTTATATTTTTTTCCCGCTCATAAAAGTTTTTATTTAGGGGCTATGTGCAATTCGTTTTGAAATCGCGAGCTTATTAGCAAGCGGTTTCAAATCGTAAGAATCTTCCAACTTACGAAAACAGGAGAAAGTTTTTTTGCGATTTGACTGTCAAATCGTAACTTTTTGCTATTTGCGATAACCGGAGCATGGCTGACATATTTTATTTAAATAATATTTGTTCCCGTAGTACACTTGTAAAGAAAAAAAAAAAATGTGTACACTAGGGGACAAGCCCCTGTGCTTTCGCTTTGTTTGAGCATCAACCCATTCACGCTCCGTGTGAGTTAGAGAAAGACGAAGATGAAGTTTGTTTTATAATAATATTATAGCGTGTATTTCTGTCATTATCATATGAAATATGATATATATATATATATATATATACTCCACCCTCCCCCACCCAACACCACTCTTCTTCTTCACAGAAAATAAAATATAAGGCGGTGACCGAAAAAAAACCTCTTATCTCTGTATTATATTCTGTACCTCTTCTTCTTCTTTGGTTAGCTTACAGACACACCCCCTTCCTCTAACCCACACCCCATCACCACACTCTTCTTCATCAACTAACTCAGAAGAAACAAAAAAAATTAAATATCGCGTGGTGCCGAAGTTAGCTTTTTTTTAATTTACATGTCTCCAATACATACCCATATAGTTCTGAGATCTAGTTATTCATAAACTTACAGAAAGCCGAATAAGAGTTGGCTAAAATCTTGTTGGAAACTCTTACGCATCGACCACGACGCGCATTTATATTATTTTGGATTTAAGTAATTGATGTTATAAATAAAAAACGAGAATGAACGTGTGAGTCGCTTCTGGGGACGCGACTCTACTTATACCCGTACTCAGTCAGTATATACATTTTTGAGCTTATAACACTAGTCAACACGATTTTTCCTCAAGAAACAAAACGAACTTTTTCTTAAAGATTTGGGGCTTAGAAATGGTTTGATGATATTTTTTTTTTTCTATGGCAGAACTTTTTTTTGAAGAATTTTTGAAAACTGGTATTTTTTTTAAGCTTTTTTCAAAGGTAGCGCTTGTTTTTTTCATATAGCTCTAGTATCTTACGTCTGGTTGTAAAGAACTTTGCTATTTTGAAAAGATAATTAAAACAGCTAGAAGTTAAGCCCAAACACTTTGTGATTACAGCTTACCGTCTGGGAAATATAAAGCATTGAAATGCAAAAATTATGATTTTTGTACGGTATTTTTTACGAAATTTTGACTTTAAAAACTCAGGAAAAGTCGAAAAAAATTATATCCTATGTCCTCTATTTATTTTTTGCATTAATTGCATTAATTTGGCGTCGTTCAAGGTATCGCTCATTAAAATCTATGGAGAGACTTTGGAGCTAAAATTCGTTAACTAAACCTAAAATAGGGAAAAATGAACAAAAAATACCTTTTGGAAGGTTGCGAGCTCAACTGCCAATTGGGAACAAAGCAAACGAAAAAGGGTTGAAAAAAGGCAACTTCCAAAAGGTATTTTTTGTTTATTTTTTCCCTATTTTAGGTTTAGACTTCAAAAATTCTTCAAAAAAAAGTTCTGCCATAGAAAAAAAACCATAATTCTTTAAAAAATTTTAAATCTTCAAAAAAAGTCGGTTTGGATCCTTGAGGAAAAAAAAAGTTCGATTTTGTCGAGTAGTGAATTATTTAGAATTTAAAAAAAAAAAAAAAAATTGTACATATTACATTTTTTTGCTACATCTGTTATCTACATCTACAATGTATATTCTACATCTCCTCCGCTAGGGGTTGCTCGCGCACTGAATGCGGCAGAGTGTGCGAGCGAGAAAGAGAATGAGTAGCGTTTCTTTGGCTGGGAAGGCAGGGGAAACAACTGAAAATTAAATTTCTTCATTCTGGCTATAATTATGATCCGATCTGATTCAGATTCGGCAATCTGGTAGATATGGTCACTAACCATACAGTATACTGTATATGGTCACTGTGATATGTGATATGGTCATTTTCTACGATAATGCGTTTTTAGTTTTATCGTATCTTTAAAATGTTGTCCTTTGTGGTGGCGGAAGGGGCGGGTCGAAATTTTGAAAAGCACTTGTAGCAGTGTGATATCACATGGGTCTGGAAACCAAATTTGGTTTCTCTAGTTCTTATAGTCTCTGAGATCTAGGCGCTCATCGAGACGGACAGACGGACGGACGGACAGACGGACATGGCTATATCGACTCGGTTATTTATGCTGATCAAGAATATATATACTTTATGGGGTCGGAAACGTTTCCTTCTCTGCGTTGCACACATCCACTTTTACCACAAATACAATACCCCTTAATTTTTTTTTGAGTACGGGTATAACGAACACGGCTCGACCATATATTTCTCACCCCTTGCGGATCCATGTATTTTCAAACGTAATCGGACTGTCACACCCAAGTGGCAGGCTAACTCACAATCAAATCTTTGAAAAGTACGTATGGTCATTAATGTCCAATAACGTTCTGGAGTGCTTAAGGAATTGCCTCCAGTACCAACGAGCAATAATTCATATGCACAACCCCGTTTCCGGAATCACCTTTTCTGATGGAAGATTTGATCAAATATGTATGTACACGTGTACATCTGATCAAGGAGCTAGATTCACGTCTGTTTTCTGGAAATGACTTGCGAATATGATGGGAAGTGAACAAATTTACTTTAAGCCATACCAACCCCAGTCGAATTTTATGATCGAGCGATGGGCTCAAGCCATAAGAAGAACATTCAGGCATCAACAGCAGTAGTGTTATATGTATACGCTACACTACTTTCCAACCAATATTTTACGACATGGGTGAAGCTTTGAAGCCACCGAGATATTCTGATATTGTTATAAATAAATAATAATTTATTATTTAATTTTATGAACTGCATTTTATACATTCCTACCATTGGCCAAATAGCCAAAAGCTAACGCACATACCTTTTAGTTCGGTCAGCAGCTTCGAGTATACTGACCACTTGATGTGCTCGGCCTTCTAGAGTATTAACAGGGGATATAAGGTAATGGCTTCTATTTCCGCTATCCGAATCGAAAAGACTAACGTATTTAAGAAGCCAATATATAATAATAACTTGGAATGAAAATAGGGCCATTATTAACCGTTTACATACAACTTATATTCAGAAAGCTAAATAACGCATTTTTGAATGCTTTAAAGAGCAGATGCTACGGATACTAACACTAAACGGAACTGATCGGAATGGATTTCTATTCTAATTGAAAAATGTATTGTGTATACCCTTGAAGAGGGTATAGAGTTTTAAACATATTTTTGCAACACATTGATTGTGTTGTCACAATTAACACAACAATAACACAAATAAAAATTTAAGTAAAATATTCAATTCAATTTTGTGTTACGATTTAGATTCTGCTGCACATATTTGTTTACGTAAAATTCCCCATGTTGGTCTAATCATTAGTATTCTTTTAAATACTATAATTATACATATTGGAAAGAATATATAGTAAACTTAACATTTGGAAAGTTATTCCATAAGAATATCCTCGTTTTTGCTTATTCGTGACATTTTGCAGGTGTGCATAAGTCTGAATTTTTTTGTAATTCTTATATCTCGAATCCTGGTCTTCTCTTTAATTGGTACCCACTGATATTATATTTAGAACAAAACTAATTAAGAGGAGGTTTACTTAAGGATAACTAAAGTCAATCAGTCATGCTACGATTATCGCAAATCGCAAATGACTGTCAAATCGCAAAAAAGCGTTCTCCAGTTTTTTTATATCGTTACGATATAAAACCGGTTGTGAATCAGCTATCGATTTAAAAAATGAATTGCAAATAGCACATAAATAGCACATAGCGGGAAAAATTTATAAACAAATTTGTTGATGTTCTAAATGAAAATTTATTTTCGTATATTCTAATATATCCAATAAATTTATTAATAACTTACCAATATACTCTTGAAAACAAGTGCGAATTCCCATTAAACAGATGTCGATCGGCCCATATCTAGCCAGTTTTAAAAATGTCGTCTGTTCTTAATTCACCCTAATTCACCACAAAACAAAGATTTTTATAAGGTAAATATCGCATAAAAATTTGTCTAACTATATCGATAGCAAAAAGTTACGAAAAATTTCAATTTGTAGGAACTTCTTTGCTACCTAATATAATTGAAACCAATCAAAGCCAGATCAGTGTATCATAAAGCTTATATTGGAACTATTGGTCGGAAAGCCTTTCGGAGAAGTAAGTGAGAAAAGCATTTTTATTTATTAATATAATTTATTAACCATCATTTACCATCTCATATACTGATACATAAATATATCATTTAAAAATATAATTTAAATCGAAGGATCATATAGCTGACATATTGTTATGGCGAATATCGATTGACCTACTTTTCCGAATTGGCTTCAGCACACCAGCCAGGAGCCTAAGAGCACATACTATGGCAATAACATGCCCATATTTAGTGAAAATATGGTCAACATAATGAGCTGCCAGCTGGGATGCGATTTGACTTTTGCCAGAGGAAGGGAGCCGTCAGAAGGTTGCTTACTGATATTTCTATTTCATGTATGATTTTGTTATATTTTGTTGTTATTTAAGATAGAAATAAGATAATTTAGACAGGGATTTTTTTAAACTTTTGGCGAATAATAAACAAATAAATATTATCGTTATATCTTCAAGAGTATTAAAAGCTTCGACCACCGAAAGTAGCATTCCCCTCTGGTTTAACATAAATATGTTCGTGTTGTCTGCAAATTACTATCTCGAATTGATAAAAATGTACATTTGAACGTACGAGTATGAAAGGAAAACTATGATTGTACATATCTATGTAAGTATATATGCACACACATTTGTATGTATGTATGTAGGAGTAAGTACCCTGCAGTACGGTTCATCGAAGTGTAAGCAACCACACATCGCTGCCGCTGTCATGCAAGTCGATGACATAAGCGATGACCTGCCTTACATTGAACTGTTCACGTTAACATGGAGATGTAATGTCCTAGAAGTATAGGTGATGAGCACTAATCAATTTAGAAGTGATGAATTTGACGAAAAAAATAATGCATTCAAAAATATTCACAAAAAAAAAAATGTGATTTACTTTTCAAAACGAAAAGTTGGGCGCTCCCGCATTCGTAAAACGGAAGACTTTTCCGTTTTCAAAACGGCAACATATTTCTCGCCGAAATCAAAAGTAAACGGCTTTTTATACAACAAACTGAATCTTAATTGCAAAAGGGGCAATTGAGATTGTGCTCCTTTTATAAACCTCAAAATTGGATCTGAAAAATTTGTCAGGGCTGTGGCAGCCCGATTAGGTCATCGATAAGTCTCTTTTAAACATAATATAATAATTATATGAGCTGGCACTAAAGTGTTGACATAACAGCAATAAATTCCCGCTTAACAGTGCAGGAGTAATGAATCGAGTTTTGAGAATTCCAGAGCGCCTTGAAATGAAAAGAACGAAAAGTAAAACCAAAGTGAATGTGAAAACCAGAGCCTGCCTGGTTAATAATATATTTCACATAAAACTGTGGCTATTATGAAAAAAAAAACACATGGGTAAATTGCGTATAAATATATTAAAATTTATTAATTTATTGGTTTTTTACAAAATTGTAGATTTACATTTGTTCTGTGGGTCCTTTTTCCAAAGAACCTTTTTATACCCGTACTCAAAAAAGGGTTAAGGGGTATATTAGATTTGTGGTAAAAGTGGATGTGTGTAACGCAGAGAAGGAAACGTTTCCGACCCCATAAAGTATATATATTCTTGATCAGCATCAATAGCCGAGTCGATATAGCCATGTCCGTCTGTCCGTCTGTCTGTCTGTCCGTCTTGTTGAGCGCCTGGATCTCAGAGACTATAAGAGTTAGGGTAACCAAATTTGGTTTCCAGACTCATGTGATATCACACTGCTACAAGTGTATTTCAAAATTTCGACCCTCCCCCTTCCGCCCTCACAAAGGACGAAAATCTGTGGCAGTCACAATTTTAAAGATACGATAAAACTAAAAACGCAGTATCTATATGGAATATTTACAATCTACATGTTAGATGTAGAATATACATTGTAGATGTGGATGTTGATAGCAGATGTAACAAAAAAATGTAAAATATAAAATATTTTTTTTTTTTTTTTTTTTATTTGTTCTAAAAAATCATATGCTCAAAAATGTATATACTGACTGAGTATGGGTATAAGTAGAGTCGCGACCCCAGAAGCGACTCAAACGTTCCTTCTCGCTGTTAATGTTTTTGATGTTTCCATGTGCGTAAGGCCGACGTGCTCATTCAACTGAAGCGTCTCTGAAATAATATGGGATAATTAATATATTTTTTTGTTTGAATTTACTTTCCATGTCCTTCCAGGATGTATCCGTCCCCATTATGTTCCGTATTTTGGTGACCTAATAATAAAAAACAAATTATATGCATATTTATATATACTCTATGTAATACATAAGTGGGATTGAAACCTGGCGGGCAATCACAAAAGGGGCACACTAGAAGTGGTGCAAGTTATACGGCATTCCTCTGATCACCTGTCCATAACCATCTAACAATAACCTTGCTGAGCATCGTTGTCGTTCGTGTCGTGTCGTTGAGAGAAGAAGCAAAATACAGTTGTCCACCCAAACTACTTTTACGGGAACTAATTTAACCACCATTGAATCAAGTTTGAAACATATCCTAAAATACATTTAAATAAACACTGGAATATTATAATTTTCCTACAATTTGGGGGCTCGTCCAGGAAATGGTCCAAGCTTGAGGTGCAACTTAAAATCGTAAAAGTGCAGTGCGTTGGCAGAACGTTCCAGATACATACTGCGTAGAAGGTCACGAAAACGCCAAAAGGGCTACGGCGCATAAATCTACAAGAAGTTTTGTGTGCAACCGACTAAGCGGCGACAGTGTATGTGTATGTGTGGGAGGACAAGGAGACACGGAACGACCAAGTAGCAGAAAAGGCTGGGAAAAAGACGTTTTCGTGGAATCGACTCGGCGATACATTGATGCGCGCAAGGCGACACGAAGCAGCAGGAAAGGCTGGAAAATTCAATAGTAGATTGATGGTCTATAGTTGTCGACAGTACAAGCGTTAGTAAAAAGTTGTTCTGGAATTACGTAGACTGATAATTTGCGGAAGCTGGTCTGTTAGAAGGCGTTAGCGAGCAACGAAAGGCAGAAGCCAGCGGTGCAAATCAGAAACGTAAAGCGAATCTGGTACAAAACGACAGAAAATCAATCAGTATTTTTTTGGACGGCGTCGGCAAGGAAGTGTCGAGCAATGACAAAAGGCGAGAGAAGCAGATCTTCGGGAAGTCATCGGCAGGGAAGAGCTGGGCAACAACAAACAATCGAGAGAAGCTGTTCTTCGGGAAGGCGTTGGCAAGCAAGTGCCGATTAACTACAAGACGGCGAGAGAAGCAGACATTCTGGTGAGCTTCGGAAAGCAAGTGCCAATTAACTACACGAAGGCGAGAGAAGCTGACATTCTGGTGAGCGTCGGCAAGCAAGTGCCGAGCAATGACAAGCAGACGTGCGGTAGATAAGTTAATGCATGAATTAATCACTTTTTATGATAATTAACTGATTAACTCTTTATTAATTCGTTATCGTTAAGCTTTATTATATTAACCTTTTGATTCTTGATAAAACTACTCAGCAAAATTGATCTTTTTCTTTAGGCTGTGGACCACAATAACTTTTTCTGATAGATTTTGGGATTTAAAAATGTTTGTAGTATTTTTTTTTTATGGTGTAATTTTTTTTTCAAGAATTTTTAAAATGAGGTATTTTTTTTTATGGGTTTTTTCAGAGGAAGTGCTTTTATTTTTCACATAACTTAAGTATCTTGCATCTGGTTTATATAGGTGCATTGGTGAGCTTTTCAGAACTGCAAAGTTCTATGCAACCAGATGTAAGATACTTAAGTTATGTGAAAAATATCCGATGATCCTATTGGGCTTTGAGGTGGCTCAGAGGGGGCCTAGCTGAGGCCACCGGACGGGTCGCAGGTTGCGGATAGCGAACGGCCTACCCTAGTGGGTAGGTCAGTTGCGAATAAGCGGGCATCTTAAAGAGTATCAACTAAGTTGGCTCTGAGGGAGAGTACCGAAATAAGCAATCCCGGACAGCCAGCGGGTGTTCGCGACGCAGCAACACTGACGATGCGCTTGTGGTGCCGCCTCTCATTAAGTAGCTCACACAATCCCATCCCTACACAACACCTACCCACATCCCAGCCCCAACACTCACCTCACACCGGGCCGGACTAAGGTGTCACTCGACCCGTGCCAAGAGTCAGCCTGGCTGGGGGCCCGGTATAAAAACTAGCCCAGTCGTGAACGGAGAGCTCAGGGACTTGGCAGCCCCCTGTTCTAATTATGCCTTACCCGGGTAACGCAGAGCTCTGCCGGGGTGGACCGTTCCCCTTCTCTGCAGCTCGTGGGAACTATATGGACAAATTCGATAACATAAACAACAACAAAAACAAAAACGAGAGAGGCACTCCCCAAATGCCTACAGGGAGAAATCCCAAGCGAGAGAAGGCAACGGCCCAAAGGCCTGGCCAAATCCGCTCAGACGCAGGAAAGACCTGCACGGTGAAGGACGCGGGTATGAATCCGGGTGGGTCCCATCCCAAACCTGGGATGGGTGGAAAGCCAACACCCAAAACTGATACCATGGTAGGGCAGCTAAGCAATATTGCGGCTGTTTAACCTTCCGGTGAAGCGGCGGGTGATGGCTTGCCATCAACCAGCGTCCAAACCAAAAAATTCAGCTATGCCGAAAAGAGGAGTGCTGGGCACATACTCCGTCGGCAGAACGCCAGCCAGGAAGTCAGTCCAACAGCAGACTGGCTGAAGAAAGTGGAATGGGCCTCGGTGGTGTTGCCCAACTTCAGTGTGGAGCCACAGAAGGTGGCCGCACAACCGAAGAGGCAGCGCTCTCAAGAGACGCCCGGACCTGTCGCGAAGCGATCCAGGGTTATACCAAATGTATCCTTCGCGCAGATTGCCAAGGAGAGGACGCTGATAGGCGTTCTCGACAAAGGCAGCGCGGAGGGGAAGATACCCAGAAGCCAGTGGAAGTGGGTGGAAGCGGCACTGGCCGACCGCTGCTTCGAGCTTCTCGAGAAGGATCCCGGGCCACCCCCAGTCTGCAAAGACATGGGATGGTTCCAGGGGAGCATCAAAGTGGTAGCCTGCGAGGATGAGCGCTCCGTAAAGCTATACAAAGCTGCGGTGGCGCAAATCGGTGAGGTCTACGCCGGGGCGACGCTCGTCGCTGTGGACTGGAGCGAGATGCCCAGTAGACCAAGGGCCCGTATATGGGTGCCGGCCACTTTCAAGGAGCCCGAGCGGATCCTCACGATGTTGCAGAGATGCAACCCCACACTGCCAACCTCAGATTGGAAGGTGGTCAAAGTGGAGGCATCAAAGGGCCCCACAAATCAGGCGGTGGTTGGGCTGAACAAGGAATCGCTAGCCCCGATCGAGACAGCCAGGGGAGAGCTTAACTTCGGATTCAGCTCGGTGACCATGAAGGTCTATAAGTCGGATGCAGCGGCAGAGGCGCGTTCTGTCAACACCCCAGTTGAGCA